TTTTATTAAATGCGTTATTTTTCTATATATTTAACTTAATTATAACATATTAGTCTTATTTTGTATACAGTGTGCCAGCAAGTATCTGTAGTATTGTAAGTGCGCTCAGACTGTATAAAGTTTGAGAACCACTGGTCTAAACATTCTTGGATGTCTTGGACAGTTGAAATATTCGTGTTAAATTAGTTATCCTAAGAGCTGGCCAATTAGTGGAATTTAATGAGTGATTAATCTTCATGCTCATTAATTGATTATATTCAACAATCAATGGTTTTCACATGAGACTTGGATAGTTGGAATAATCAAAAATAGGAGTTACTGGAAACTAATTGATTGAGCTGAACAACATTGAATTAATTTAAAATGATAATTGAAAATCATAATGGCAATATTTTGATTACTTGGATATTTGGTATAATTGAAAACACAAATTTTGATTAGTTGATGTTTTCGCGACATCCTTCGGTTTATTTGTAATTTTGATTGACTGATTATTTTGTATGTTGCTAAGCGATGTAATCGATGCTCATACATGATTGCATTAATCACCCAGCTCCAGCATTACCTAAGTAATAGTTTAAAGATTAGTGACATAGAACCATGATTCTGTTTTATGGGCTTCGGAGCACTAGGCAGTAATCAAAAAGGACTGATGAGAGCATTCTTATTATGATGCTAGTGTGAAGTTCTTGTATCATCATAAGATGAACTAGTGCAAAAGCCTTTGTCATGAATGGTTTCATTAATGAAGAATGAAAGTTAGAAATTCAAATATAATTAGGTACCACTTGGACTCTTCATACTTCATTTCAGCTGAGCATCCTTTTCACTTTTTTTTTAATTGGATTCTTTTATTGTGGTAATACAGTCTGGAAACCTAATCTAACCCATTTCAGATTGTGGTTTGACAATGTGCAGTTAAATCTTTTGAGTCATTGTGATTATGTTTTTCCTAGTAGAGACAATTTTATCACAGAAAGTTCAAGGTACAAAAGCACTTAACTATCTGTATTCACCCTTTATAAAGGCATCTCTCAACTTTGTCTATAATTGGGGGAGTATGGTACATTTGTGTTTGATTTTCTGTGATGTAAATATAACTATAACATAAGCTTTGTGTTTTGAGTCACCTTTATTTGTGAACCCTGGAAGATACAGTGGAACTTAGAGAATTTTTGTCAAGAATACAACAGTCCTTAAAAACAAGCATGGTGACAGAAGACCTGTCATCCAGTAGTGATTACCCCTTCAGGATAGGTTCAGCAGAACAGTTGTTAAATTTTAACTTTTGCCTGTGTCGGCTAGAACATGGCTAATTAAGAAAGGTAAAGTTGTATGATAGATTTGTATTTTGTTGTAGGCTCTTTTTTTTTAATATATTTTATTATATTGCATTTCTTTTAAATATGTATGACAGAACTCCTTATAATACCTTCTTGGTTAGTATCTGTTTTCTTTTGATATATAAATTTTAAATGTTACTTCTCTGATTTGCTTATAAATCTGTTTTACCCAAAGACAGTTTGCTATATTTTCTCTAAAATTAGGCATATTTTTATCATGTAAAAATACATTCAGTCATATGCCTTCTTATGTGATGATATTTTACATATTTAGCTAATAATATTTCCATACAATTACAGATGGTTAAGTGTGTTATAGTGAAATGCTTTTGGAGCCTGAATCACATCATTATAGTCCATGTCACTATGCTTGGTCATGTTATCTTTACTGACTACGCATCTTCGCAATAGTCCTGGGATCTAGTTTTCATTGCAAAAGCTTTTTTCTGACATCTGCCATGTCAAAAACCCAACACTTCTCCCTGCATGCTTCCATAATTCATCTACTGTATGAGAATGACAATTTTCTAGTGCTCATTTCAACAGTCTGATCTTACAGAAATACATAAGTACTACATCTAGCAATTTGACTTCATATGGAATAGTATTAATACTCATTTAATTCTCTAGCTGCTTGAGATATGCAACAGTTAAATGAATATTATGGAAACAAGTTGTGTGTACATGACTTATGTCACTTTCCCAGAAGAAAATCCTTCATGGTTATATTACCTGAGGCACTTGGATTACTTTTGCTATTGATCTTTTCATTTGGGGATTCTCACCTGTTATATGTAATAATACTCTGCTTATCCTGGCTTGGATATGAATTGTTGCAATTCTCTTTCTGGATGGTCCTGGTGCTCCAAGTTGCTCCATGTACTTTTGTTTTACAGTGCCATTAAGCACAAGGGAAATCCCTTGTCTTGGAAAATCTAAATCTCTAATCTGAACATATTTTTATGATCTGAGTGTATGAATATCTTGCATATGAAAGGACTGTTATCTACCCCTTTCCAAAAGTGATCATTTTTCAGTTTTATCACACTACCTATGAAATGCCAAACAATATCCAAGTGTAGTTCTGATGCATGCCATTTTGCTGCAGCTTTATATTGGTTGTGGTTCTCACACATTTAGCTGATTTAAATATTTAAAATCCTTTCAATATATTGTGCTCAACCCTTTACAAATATTGGATGATTTTCCATGTGAAATTATTTCTATGCATAATGCATAACACAGTGAGAATTTCTTCACACATGATGCCATTAACATTGCACTTTGTAACATTACTTTTAATGATCACACATCTCAGTTCTTATCCAAAACTGTAAAATAAACTTGTGGTTTCTGCTTCCACTTTTACATTTAATAATTGGTAGACCATTACTTATACACATTTCTTTTTTTTTACCTACCATCAGTTTCTCTTTATCTTGGGATACTGTGTTGACTGAGACATTAGCTGTAAAAAGTTCATTTTCATAATGTTATTTACTGAGTATCTTTCCTAAGTGTAGTTCTTGTCATGTCTTCTTTACTTTCCTCCACAGCTTCTTAATGCTATAATTTTATTTTTATCTCATTTCATTTAAGAATTAATTTTTTATGTACATTCATTGTTATGAAGAAGTATATCCAAAATAAAGGAAGTTTGTGTTAGTGTTAAACAGTGAATTTGTTATTAGAATGTTTAATGTTGAGTTAATTTAAAGCACTCAACATGTTTGGTCTCTCTAAAGATGGTAAAAGGTGGTTTAATTAAAAGTTCCCACAACTTAACTATGAACCCAGATAACTCCAATGAAACAGGCAGTAGAAATTAGAACTTGGCTAAGAAAAATAATAAACCAAATATCCTCAAGTAGGTGATGCCAAGGCTGTGGTTATCCAAACCAATCACCATACCTCTTGGTACAAGAGGACTGCTGCTACACATCCACTTCCTCCTGTTCAGAGCTGCTGCAACCATTGCTTTCCATCAAGTTGCTTACATTTACTGCAGATTCAGTTGAAATGAAAGTGGTGTCCACTCCTCCTTTCTCCTGATAAAATATGGATAATCTCACTTCCAGGGATTTGGCAAGCCAAAGTTAAAACATGGGCTCCTCCTTTTACACACTAAATATATCTTCTTTTTTCTTTCTGTCATGGCAGCTGGGCCTGGAAAGCCCTGTTCCATAAGTAACAGTCATAGCTGCAACTCAACACCTGGCAATTCCTATAGCAATGGAGTTGTCAGCTGAAATTTTGTTAAAATTTGATGACTATTGCCAACCCTTGAGATTGTTTTGAGGCTAAATTAGCTTCACCTTGAATAAAAATTCGATGACGAGGAACCCACTTTGAGACTAATAATGGCTGGAGACTGCTTGAATGGGTAATGAAGAAAAACTTTAGTATAAGTTTAACATAACAGCAAACGTACAACGTTTGGACAAGGTGACGATGACAAAACCTTGTCGAAACGTTGTACATTTGCTGTTATGTTAAACTTATATTAAAGTTTTTCTTCATTACCCATTCAAGCCATCTCCAGCCATTATTATTCACCTTGAATAGTGCTGCCACAGATACAACAATTACCAGACATTAAGTTTCACTGAGACCAATGTAGTGCTGCATGGGATCATTTGGTAGCCTCTCAATGAACTTGTTTATGAGGTCTTTCACATGATTTGTGGTTGACATGCTTAGGCAAACCTTAAGATACTAGATCTTCAGATTGTTTGCATAAGTGGCCAAGTTTTCATGAGGCCTAAGCCCTTGACCTTGGAAATCAGTCTAATGGATTGCTTGACTCTCCACACTATTGAATGTGTGATGCAGCTTTTTAACAGCTGTGTTGCAGTCATTGAACTGGCCATTGTTATTCAAAGTTAAAAATGTTAAATAAATGACATTATAAAGTGTGAAGGTATCAGATCAACATAACTTGTTGCTGTGATTAAAGAAAAAAGTTTGTTTCAAGAAAGTACATTGTCTCAGACATGAAATGTAAACTTACAGTGTAAATTTATATTTTTAAATTTTGGTAGCTATTGGATAAAAAAATTTCAGTCATAGAATTTTATTATGTTTGCCTAAGTTGCATAAATAATTTAATCCTTTTTATCAGTTGTCTTTCAGAAGACTTATGATGATGCAATCAGAAACGTGACAGCTCACTCATATTTGACACTGTACATTGGCAATAACTAAGTCTTAAATGTGGGTGATTTGATGTGAAATTTTAATTTTGCAAGAAAACAGCAATAATGTTGTTCAGTCTGTTCAGCACTATCATTGGATGGAATTATTCAGAAAATTCTAGAATGCCATAGAGGGGATGTGAAATGATTAATGATTGACTACTGAGGTCTATTGGTAGTGCTATTTTTAAGGAGTGTGTAAATGTTTATCTGCCATTCATAGAACTCTAACATATGAACTTTAATCAGAAACTATAATAACATTAAAGCTATTTTACCATATCAAATTTTGGCCATGGAATGGCTCAAAATTCATAATTTCTTTATGCAATAGCTGGCCAGGTATCTAGGTAACATGAGTTAATTCCAAATAAGTGGTTTTTTGACCAATATACTGATTATGATTCGATCAGCAAATATCAATTTGATGCTTTTCCCAGTATATGAATTGTACAATTTCATTAATGTTTAAAACCATAAGTGTTCATAGAAAAAAGACTGAATTATGTTTTTAATTTTATGACTAACTGTATATGCATTTTGTGTGTGTGTGTGTGTGTGTGTGTGTATGTATATATATATATATATATATATATATTATATTACTTATAGTATTAGTAGTACGTACCTTACCTTCCTTCCCTTCGTACG